CAAGAAGTTCTCTCTTCCTCTTTAGCCAACCCCTCCTTCCTCTCTCATTTCTTGGGTTTGCACTTCCCATGCTTGGCATCTCTAAGAGGAAAAGAGCATACAACCATCCAACCGGGCATTGGCAAATCGTCGGTCGTCCTCACACAACTCCACCTCCGGCGAACTTTTGTTGGGCTACACCCATAGGTGTCTTCTCAACTTTGGTGGCATCGTTCGGCTTGCTAAGATCCTTTTCCGCAACCACTTTTAAACGAGCGTGAGTGAGGGAAACTCAATGTGACTTTTCTATTTATTAAGTGTGGGATCTCTTGTTTACAATATTTAAGTTTATCTTTATGGATGAAATTGTTTTCAAGTGATTGCTATTCTACATTGTAATTGTTGCCCTTACATTATTGATAGTCTTAAATTCTAACCACCCAATCTTGTGAAACATTAGTTTATATTACAAAGCTTAATCAATTTCTTTATAATATCTAATGCAATTCCTTGTGGTTTCACATCAATTTAGCTTCATACTTATTCATGATTTTTTTATATTTTATGTTGTCTAAAATAGCATGCACTACAACATGTGCCATGTACTATGACTCCAAGAGACCTTTATGCTATAATAAGCTATTTGTCATTGACAAGTCTGCATTAGGCATAGATCTCTTTTAAATGAGAGTATGCTATTTTTTTTATTTTCATTAAAGGTAGTAAACATTTATTAAGGTGGTTAATAATTTTTTTCAATAAATAAAAGCATGTGTCCTCTAAATTTTGTATGTTTAATGCATTATTATCTATATTATATGATAGATATGGCTTAGGAACCCTAAATACATCTTACATCATCAGAGGATTTAATATTATTCAGCTAGAGATTTAGTGTTTCTTTAATGGCGATATTGGGGTTACTTGGGTTTTGGGATTTTTAACACCCTTTTTATTTGTATGCATGTGTGACTTATTCGCAGTAGATCGATTCCTCTTTTCTCACTCGTGAATGTAAACTATAACAGAACCACATAATACTTCTTTTGTTGTAATCAATCTAAATTGTCATCATGCCATGATGATAAAACTAAGTTGTGTCAGTCAGACTCATCTTCAATAAATATCATAGCTTTTAATTCAGGCTCATCAAGTGAAAGATTAGTAATTTCTAATATTCTCATATCATCAAGAGACTCAAATCCATCTCGGAAATGAGAGAACTTTGCTCGCAGCCGCAGAAGTAAATACGATGCATCTTTTTTTTCGGATTTATTTTTTGCTTTTCAACGGACACGTGTATCGGATACGTGTGTCCTTTTGAAATTAAATAGTATTTTAATTGGATACGTCTTTGGTGTATCCGACAGGTATCGGTGGAGTATCAGAGGCGTATCCGTGTATCGATGTATCGGATACAACACACCTTCATAAATAGGTGTATCCGTGCAACATAGTTTCCAACTAGCTTAGGGGATGTTTGATTTGATAGCATATTTAAGCCCCATAAACCGATCGTCGCCCAACCAACTCCAACTTGTTAGAACCCCTTCATTTGCCTAATATACAATGCTAAGTTGTTGATCACCCTTCTCTTTCTTAACTACCTTCCAATCAACGTGTTTCTTATCTGGCACCTTGCCAACTAACTCACTTATTGCCTGGCTCTCGCTAACCAACTTTCTGGCCATCATACTGAAGTCATTGAATGGATTTAGCCTAAGTCGACCAGCCATCCAAGATTTCCCACATCCTATCACAAAAAAATGATCACCATCTATACATATGAATGCATGCTCGACATGTGATACTTCATGGTCTGTCCTAACAACACCTACTTCCTGATATTCCTTATATCTAGACAATACCTACTTTTCACTTGCCACACACAATCACCTCTCCTCAATCATATCATCCTTTAGTATTTCAACAAGTGGCACATGTTGGCCTCTTAGCCTAGCACATGTATTTCACAATCACCTCGCCCTTGTTGACATATAGTCACATGAACCAAAAAACCCCTATCATATTAATCTCACTTATACATAGGCCCTCTTCAAGCTCTTGCGAAGGTTAGAGATTTTTTTTTTCGAGACATTAAACTTTAATTAGTCATATAACCTCTATTGTATTCCTTCTCTTCCTAGCTAGAAGTAGTTGAGAATCTTTCATATTCTTATTGATTATAGTGTAACTCTCTCCCACTCTGCAAGATGGATGTAAGAGATTAAGTCAAACAATTTAAATCCAATTGTATGTAAGAGCATTCAAAGTGGTAGAGTAGAGAGAGTTTAACATTCTAGTATTGCACAAAGGCAAAAAAGACAAATAAAAATGGGTTACAAGAGATGCTATAGTTTTTATATGAAAACCTAAAAAGGAAAAAAAAAACATGAGTCTAGCTTAGTTGAAATGATTCTACTTATGTTTATTTTCATATATAAATGATGTCATTCTCTATGATTGGGGAAAATAATGATATAATATAATATACATAAATTCTATATAACATATTCCATGGTAGTAGTTGGAAGAGCTCTATGGCATGGGAGCTATATTTAGAAGATTATTTGTTGCTTGTTTGATCTTTTTTTTTAGGAAGGGAGACCACTGATCAAGAAGTTCAAAATAAATCATTTGTTGCTGTTGGGAGTCAAATTTGGTGTCAACAGTGTATACCGAACTTTTAAGTGATGGCATACGTCAATATTAGTGGACATAGTCGGCTTGTGTGATGACAAAAATGCATCAATCTTACAAGTGATGACGTGCATCAATATTGTAGGCAACGAAGTCAATAGGCGTCAACGTACTCGTGAGATGGTGGTGAGAGGACTATAGTTGGGACATGAGAGATGGTGGTCGGAGAAAACTGGAAAGTAGTAGAGAGACAGTGGTCAGAGGATCATAATCGCACAATAGTGGTTGAATCGTAGTCGGCCAATAGTGGTCAAATGACCATAGTTGGAGATGATGGCCAAAGGACTATAGTTAGACGAAGATGACTGGATGATCATAGTTAGGTGATGGTAGTCAAAGAATTATATTTTTGCGATGGCGATTGAGAGACTATAGTCGGGCAACGAACATTCAGAGGATTGTAGTCAAACAACAATTATCGCAAAATTGTAGTTAAAAAATAGTGGTTGAAAGACTGTGGTCAAGTAGCATCAGTTAAGGGGCAGTAGTCAGGCAACGGTGGTTAGAAAATTATAGTCGAGTGGCATTGGTCAAAGTATTGTAGTCGAACAACAATAGTTAGAGGATCATTGTTGATGGTCAATCTGATTGTTAATATTTGGTCCAGTTTTAGCTATTCTGTTTCTTTGGTTTATATTACCTGCTTGATAGTGTTATAAGTAGATGTTTGGGTTTTCTGAAAAGGTTAGGGGAAAATAAGATTTAGTACTAATTTCTTCAAAAATCTGGGTGTGCTTTCCCTTCTCCTTCTCTCATGGGATGCAACCATTCAAGAAGCTTATCTTCCTCTATGTTTTCATAGCAATTGATATCAAAGCTTGATGGAAGTGATCAAGGGGAAGGAGGAGGGCGTTTATTGCAATCAACAAAGAGCGGAAGCAGGATGAGGTGGAGTCGCGGGCACAGGTGTGCAGATCACGTGAAGGATCAGACAGGAGTGCAAGTATATGAATCGGAGAGCACACAGTAGCATTAGAGTAGGTGTTTGGACGAAGCGAAGCATGCCAGATAGAGCGCGCGGATGGCAGATTGGTCGAAGAAGGGACACTCGTGCGTGAAGGAGATGCGGGCGGGTCGAGGTTAGGTGCAGGATAGACACATGTGGGCCAGGAGCAAGCAGATCGTGTGGGCGGACCGCCGATGGTGTCGCGTGAGAAGACTGATCAAGCAGGCAGTGTTGCGTGCAGAAACGAGTCGTGTGGGTGTTGCGAGCGGTAACGGGGCTGGACGTGCGGAAGGGGGGGGGGTGCTCGTGTGTGAAGACTGATTGCGGGAGGAAACCATGAGATCAAGGAAGCTCTTAGTTCAGGTAGGCTGCAGAAGACTTGCTGGTTCTCGGTCTAGCAGGAGGTGGCTCTCAGTCCATGTAAAAGAGAAGCAAAGCTATGATCCAAGCAAGGTCTTCTTGGTGATTTCCGGTGAATACTCGTGAAAAGATAAGGACCAAAAGCCCTACTTGTGCATGACCTAGGAGGAGGCAAGAAGAAGGTTTAGACAGTTCTTCTTGCTTGATTCTTGCTTGTGGTTGAACAAGTGGACAACAGCAGATGAAGGGGAAGCAGACTGTTTGGTGTAAGCATTTCTTAGCAGTTTTTTGTGAATAGCGGGTGGAGGAGAAGAGGCAACCGTTGGGGAAAGCATTTATTGGGTTGTTCTTTGTGGACACCAAGTGTTTTCTCAACCAGCGACAACAAATTTAGATGAATACGATTCATAAGATGAATGAATAATAGATTCATAGATATTATGAGGATCACCATTTCTCTGTTAAACATTGTAAAATTGGACCAAGATGGAGATTGTTAGTATTTGGTCAAATTTTTGTTATTATATTTCTTTGGTTTATCTTACCTGCTTGATATGGTTATAAATAGAGGTTTGGGTTTTCTATAATGGGATCACCCATACCTTTCTAATACTGAATCTAATACTGAAATCCTGTATATGAAATTTCTGGGAAAAAAATAAGATTTTGATTTGATTTCTATAATGTATTCAACCTTTTTGTTAAAACCTTCAAGTAAGGAGATGCATATTCCAGAATCTGAAAATGATCTTTTGAAATCTCTGAGTTGCATAGTCTATAAGGAGGATGATTATGGAAGGATGATACATCCCAACAAACACGAAAATATTCAAAAATATTTCATAAAATAATATTGAGTTAACAATTTGATAAATCCGGTGATTTTTTTTGTTTTTTGCACTAACAAGAAAATTAAACATCAAGTTTGGAAACTTTTAAAAATAGTAAAACTCAAATCTGAAGAGAGTACATAAAATAAGAAGAAGAAAAAACATCATTCAACAGATTAGCTTACTGGTTTAGTTGCTCCTAAGGAGTGCTTCACGGCTTCACCAGTAGCTTTATTAACAAGAGCAAACGCGGGGTAACCCTCTTTATCCTTTACCTTCGTGCTGTATTTGAGGTCCTTAATCCAATGCTGAATTTTAAAACGGATAACAAAACTCATCATCCAAGAAATAAAAATATAGCAAGCTTATCAGATAACCATATAACAGTTTAAAATAAATTAGAAAAGCAATTCAATCAAGAGAGATAAAAGAATATCACTAAAACCCCCAATAAAAAAAAAAGTTTGGAGCAAGTTATGAGGTAGATCGACCAGATCACAAGAAAAATGATGAATGCGGATAGCGATCCGAACGGAAAACGAACGATCCCAATGTCAAAAAATCCAAACCTCCTATGTAAAATAGGATCTACTGCGGAAAAGGGGAAAATTCCACCTTTGGCCTCAAACTAACAGAGAAACCCCCGTAAAATTAGGGCAAAGGGCAAAAGCCAAAAAAAAAAAAACTAAACCCCTACCTGGCGTTTGTCACTAGGATTCTTCAACTCGAGAACGACTTTCCCATCCCTTATCGACAGCGAGTAGTTCTCCTCCGCCTTGGTATATATCCTCACCGTCGGCAGATTATTCAACGCCCCACCATCCCAGCTTTCATGACTGACGTGCTCAGCGTATCCTGGGCGATGACCGTAAGGAGCCTCATGAGCAACATGCTGGACTGGAGCTCCAGCGAACGGCCGATGTGGCGGAGGCACAACATCAGCCGTGATTAACGGAGGCGGCGGGCCGTACCCTAGCCCCGGCTCATGAGACACGTGGTGAGCAGAGCCGCCGAAAAACGGTGGAGGGGGATCGTAGCCTCGATCATGAGAGACGTGGTGCACGCCAGGTGGGGGGTAAGCATGGGTTACGCCAGGAGGCGGGTATACTGGCCCTGGTTCATGAGAGACATGGTGAGCTGAGCCGCTGGAAAACGGCGGAGGAGGATCGTAGCCTCGATCATGGATGCCAGGTGGGGGATAGACGCCGGCGTGTTGGTGGCGACGTCTATCGTCTTCTTCATCTTCGTCGCCATGATGGTGATGGTGACCGTGGCCGTGGCCGTGGCCGTGGCCGTGGCCGAAGGGGAATTCCATGATAGTTGAGAATGGAGTACAGTGGCGATGGGAGATATATTAAGCGTTGAGTATAACGCCAGCAGGTGGATTAGTACGGTTGGTGCCACTCGTGTAACTCGGAGTGCACGAGGAAACGACGACACGATGACACGAGCACAGTGGACGCCAGGACATTTTATTAATTTTGATTTTACGAATTGGCGCCATCCACTTCTTGAACAACAAATGAAAACGTTTTTTTAATGGCGACTTTGAACAGTGCTTCATCAATATTGCTAAATATATATTTTTTTATGTTAGAAATAAAGATAAAAAAGAAATTTGATTGAATATGAATTATGATTGTTATTATATTTTAAAGTGAAAAATAAATAATTTGATTGGAAATACTCTTAGGTTATTAACCAAGAGATTTTGAATCCCAATTTTGAATATATATATATATATATATTACAAATTAAAAAAATAAAATTTATTTTAATATCGATCTAGTCACTCGACTCACAAGTGGTGCTAGACGAATATTTTCTTCCTAGAATTTTGATAGAAAAAGATGTTGATTATATCTTTTTAGAATTGAATAATAATGAATAAAAATTTAAAATATAGATCAATAAAATATAAATAGAAATAAATGAATGTTTAACATTTGATCAGTGGTATATAAATATTGATACATCATCAAAAAATCATCTTGATCGGACATGAATCTCGAGGCAAAATCAAGTTGGAAACTTTCGAAATTAAAATCGGAACATCTAAACTCCGATTTCAGCAAACTTATAGTCAAACTGAGCGTCTCGAAGTTACAAACCCAACGACACAAAAATCGACTCAATCTGAGCCCAAATGAGTTAAAATTAAAATATCGAAGCAATGTTGGAAGGTTCAAATCACAATTTGAATTACCAAACGTGAAATGCTTATAGTCGAATCGAGTGAATCGACGAGACAAATCCAACGAGCCCAATATCACTAAATTCTGAGATCACTAAGACATACAAATGTCCAGTAAACGATCTATGATTAAGGGAATTAACATTGGCCGTCCATCCAAATCACTTCAACTTATCCATGATCATCCATCTATTTATATGACATGTCACTCTAGAAAATCTATAAATAGAGCCACACTTTCTCATGAAAGGAGACCCCAAGCAAGGAATCAAGAGAGAGATCGGAGATTTCTCTTGCCTCCTCGCTCCTCCTTGACCACCGCTTGGAATTCTGTTGGATCACGACCTGATGCCGAAGTTCTTCTGGACCACCACCCGATGCCGGAGTTCTACCATACCACGGCCTGACACCCCGAACTTCCAAACCACCACCAGACGCAAGAGTTCAACTGGACCACCGCCTGACGCCAGACTTTCATCAGGACCACCACCTGGCATCAAACTTCCGACGGACCACCGCCTGATGTCGGACTTCCATCAGTACCACCGCATGACACAGGAGTTCCCCGGACCAACGCCTGACGTCGGATTTCCATTAGGACCACCGCTAGACACCGAACTTCTGTCACCACCGCTTGAAGTCAAACTTCCGTCATGACCACCGCTTGACATCGAATTTTAGCTGGAATTCCGTTGGACCACTGCCTGATGCCAACTATGGTCATTTTCGACCACCATCGATAGACAAAAGTCTTTTTGACCACTGTCTCTTGTCGACTATGGTTCTTCCAACATCCCTCGCTAGACAACGGTCCTTCCTACCACCCTTATTAAACTACAGTCTTTTCGACCTCAGTCACTCACCGACTATGGTTCTGCTAACTAAACGAACATTTCAATACTAATTCTTTCTATTCCTATCATGTAATATGATGTACATTTGCTACATTAAACCAAGGCCTTCCTCTCAAAGAAGTGCTTTATTTGTAATCGATGCAAAAAATAATGGATTCTTTCAAACTGGGCAAGGCTTCGTGATTTTTCTCTCATTTCAGGGTTTTCCAAGTAAAAACTATAATGTCTAGTACAAATGCAGCACCTCTTTTAGTTGTATGCATGCTGGATCTTCGTACAACGCTAAACTTTATATTTCTCTATCGCCACGAATATTCCATGATGCAACAAATATGTAAGAATGGTAGGGGAAAAAGCTTTAAATAGACGAAGCTTACCACATAGTAGTGCAATGAATAGTGATCGGTGGTAGTGATAAAATAGTGGCACTTGTTATTGACGGCAATGGCTTGTTATAGTGGTGGTTGGCTATTAGTAGTGTGCGATATCGATGGTCAACTGTGGTGATGACAAAGGGGATGGCATATGAAGCTCTTACATATAGTTTCAATGTATTTAAATTATTTTAAACTATAATATCACTTGAGATGTCAATTCGGGTCAATAAGTTGGATTCAAGTTGAACCCGAGTTGACCCAGGTGTAAACAGGTCAACCTAAGTCCAACCCATTTTTATAAACGAGCGAGTGCTTGAGCACTTGATGAGTTGAAGCTGTGAGGGGCGAGGGCAAGACCAAGTGCGACTGCGAGCGACGGGTGAGGGCCGCGACTCGCGAGGGCTTGACCACGATCCATAGCTGTGAGGGCCAGCAAGGCTAGGGCTGCAACACATGAGTGCTTTGACCGTGGTCATGTATAGTGCTGGCTTTCGGACGTCAGTGCCAGCGTTTCGGGCTGCCCGCGAGGTCAAGTTGCATTCCAGTAAGTCAAGCTGTGAAGGGGAATTGAGGACTACGGAACACGGAGAGCTTACCGGCTTACGCAAAAGGGTCAAATCGGGTGGGTTGATTTTTAGTGTCAGGTCAATTGGCCCAATTTTTAAATGGGCCGAAATTTCAAACCCGATCCCAACCCGTATTCAAACAGTTTGATCAAAACCTAGAATTTTTTGGGTTAGGTTCAGTTCGGTTTCAAGTCATGTCAGATTTTGGCACCTCTAACTATCACTCAAAATGATTTATCACAAATGTTGTTTGATTGGATTGCAAATTGGTGTAAAAGTGTTCGAAATGTAGAGATTTTGAAAATTTTGATGTTTTGTTGGATAAAAAATGAATGCGAAGTAAATTAAATATAGTGTAAACCATTTTAGTTTATTTTTTAGGTAAACAAAACTTGCTAAATTTTGAACGAGAACGTTTACATCGCAAATAAGCTCTCTTGATCGCAGCCATCCACCAGCCGCCAGCCGCCATCCACCACTGTTGGCCACCAGCACCACCGCAAGTCACTACCCATGACCTCTAGCCACACCGATGCCGCCGGACGGTAATTCCACCCAACACCAACCATCACGGGTGTTGGCCTTAGCCAGTCACCACCACCGCATCCACTTGCCAGTTACCATCATTTTTAGATTTTATACAATATTCATTTTACTTCAAAAAAAAAATTCGCGTGAATTTACTTTACACACATCTAAATAACTCAAAAGTATTTCTTTTACATTACAATTCTTTTGCACTGCATTTCTTTTTTTGGCCAACCAAATAGGCCCAAACTAAAAAAAGGAGAAATAAAAAAGCCTATATAATATAAATTTGTTCAAAATACCATATATAATACAAATATTTTTGTAATTGGTAAAAGGTCATTTGATTACAAGTACTGCATTGTAAAATAAATTAAATATGGGAGAAAGCTGCTTTCTAGTACAAAGATTTTAATTTTTATACTATAAAACTACTTTAAGAAGCACTAAGAAAATCATTTGCGATAGTTTTTTATTATTTTCTAAAACAATTTTTTCGTTAAAATTTTTTTTTTACTAAAAACTGCTTTAGAAAGTAATAAAAAAAACGTCTCAAAAGAAACATTAACATTATTTGCGTCATTTAGGATAAAAAAAAATCATGATAATAATAAGATTGAAATGATATTAATGAAAGTCAACATAAGGTTAACTTTGTTTTTGTTTGGAGTTTTGAACTAATCAATATAGAAAAAGTTAATAACTAATTGATTTTATATAATTAAGATTGTGGATAACATTATCATGAGCATTTAATAAGTAGATTTAACATAAGATTACAGGTAACAAAATTTTAGTATTCAATATTAAAATAATAATTAATAAAATTTTGATTAGTTACTGTTTAAAAATGCCGAAGGAAGAAAGTTAAAAGAGAAAAGCAGAACTAAGGCAAATGAAAAGGCTAAATTGCATATTTCATTTCATTTCAAAAGCATATATGTTAAGATAATAATGTGTATATATAATATATTGTAGAAAAGTAGAACAAAGGCTAAGGAAAAGGCTAAAGTTGATACTGTAATTTTTTTGAGATATTTAGGTCAATTCAGATAAATACGTACACATTACATATGCAAGACTCGAACTCTAGACCTTTTGATTGCTAGTCAAAACTCCCAACGAATACATCAAGATGAGCTACGTACGTATGGATTGTCATCTTATCTCAAAGAAATTGAAATCATAGGGTGGAGTAAGGATGTTGACAATTTGATCTTGGGAGTAAATGTGACACACTTGCAATTATTTAATTTTTTCCCCCAAACAAAATGATCATCTTTTTCACTATATTCGATGTGATCGTGAAAGATGTTATCATATAATAGATCTTGAAGTCATGAAGAAGGTGTCGATCAAAGCCATATAATGTGAGCAACTGTTGTGGAGATAGCACGATACTAAGCTTTTGTGAAAGAGATGACTATCGTGGCCTATTTATTAGTTTTCAAAGAGACAATGGTATGGCAAACAAAAGACTGAAAAAAAAAAGAGTAAATTTTAGTGGTGGAGGGTTGGCCTTAGGGATCGCTCGCCATCTTGCATCAAATGTATGAGTTGAGTTTTATTCCTCCTTGTAAAATGCATTTTTTTATCATGGGTGTCAATTTGATAATGACCTTGATAATTATTGCTAAGATTTTTAAATCTAATTCAACTAAAATTTATGTCTCATAAAAATTTAAAATAAAGGAAGATTACTTATTTTTAAATAAGAAATTATGATTCACTAAAAAGCAACATTGCTAGGTTCTTAAAGATAAATACTTCAAAACCAAACTACACTAATTAAAATTAATTTTCTTAGTTTT